CCTGCTGGTCTTTATTTCTGTACCAAGACATGTAAGGGCTCGTTAAAACAAAATTTCCAGGGGCCCTGACCCATACCTCTCCTGGGCTCTGAGGGTGAGGTTTCCTCTGACTGCACTTGAGCTAATAGTCACCAGCAGGAGACCTGGACTTTGCTCTGTTTGGTTTCTTTGTGGACAGAGTGAGGAGGTGACGTTCCCCCCTGCAGACAGACAAGGCTCTGTATTGACTTTGTGGTGACTGGAATGAAGTTGGAATTTGACTGCAGCTGCAGTCAGTGTTAAAAATCAGCATTAGCTTCTGCTCCATTTCAGCTTGGCTAATACCTGCCAGCAGCTTCCCAGCAGTGACCACAGTTTATACTCTGTTCCAAAGGAGAATTGAAATGGGATGGAAGTGCTCCTTGCTCCTGACACTGCTCAGCCCTTGGGGACAGACGGATATTTCCGTTTTTACAGCATAAGAGAGAATCCAATATTTTGGGACACAAACAGCAGAGACCTTGCCTTTTTTAGTAGGATGTGTAGCTGGAATATGCCATGTGAAAATGCCAGTGCAACACATGCCACTGACCTTGCAGAGCAAGGGGTAGAAATGATGTGTGTGCCAATAGCAAGTGTGGTATGCTGTGATGTACAGAGAGGCTCTTTCACATGCTGCTTTGTACCACCTGCATCATACTGGCCTCTCTAGCTTAGTGCAGTGGGTGAGATACAGCCCTGACTTTGCTGCATTGTGAATTTTTGAATTTTGGTTTTCCTGTTGCATTTTGCATAATTACAGGGGAGAGGTGATCCGAGTAGCACTTTACAGTAACTGAATATGACACCTATTGCTTAAGGAAGTCATAGAACTTTCCCACTATTAATGGACTTACTATCAGAACTTCCTTTTTACGTGTGGTGCAGTACATACAGGGAGAACAGATCAGGTAACCATGGCCCAGTTCCTCTGCTTTTACCCCCCGTCCTGCCCACAGTAACCCTCTGTCTTTCAGTTCCTCCAGCTGGTGCTTGCTGACTTGCTGCTTGAGACCGTTTGAGTTTTAATTAAGAATGTGTGCAAAGTGCTTTGACAGCCTCAGGAAGAGGCTGCTATAGATGGGCCAAAGATTTGAATATTTTTTTTTGTTTGTTTCACTTGTATTTCCCATGAGCTAGAATTGAATGTGAATTACAGATTCACCATCTGATGGCATGAAGGGATTCTCTTTGATAACTGACTTGTCATGACCAGAAATCATCTGCTTTACTCTGAATAAAGATGGTTTTTTACCTCCCTCAGGTTCCACTGTCTGGCATCCCGACTGTAAGCAATCCACTAAGACTGAAGATAAGCTACGGGTAAGCTGAATTCGTGGCAATGACACACCAGATATTTTGCCCACACAATAATTGAATGCTGTTTTTAAAAGAATGACTTTTCCCATGTTTTTTTCACATAGCTGTCACCACTCTGGCAGAATAAACAGTGGAGGCACTTCAGAGGTATTGCTCTGACTTTTAGGCTCACCACCTTCACATACCTGTCTCAGTGCACCGCCTTAAAGATAGTATCATTTACTGACATACAAACATGGCAACGTCACTAAAACACTTCATTTCATATCTCAATTATTGTGAGAGAGACTCTCAACGAAAAAATGTGAACAGGGCAAATCCTACCATATATTTTAGTATTTTCGCACATCTGTGTAATTGCTCGATAGTTATCCCTTGTTCTGTGTGGCTATTTACAGCATTTGGATAATATGGACTCTTCTTCCTTTGCCATCCAAAGAAACCCCAGCCTAAAGTGATCGAAATTTGAATGCCAAGAAGAGCTGCAGTTACCCTTGGAGTCACCTCAGCATATCCAGACAAACTTTCTGGATCAAATCCTTGATGGCAATAATGCTGCACTGATAAATGCTGGAGCCTGGCTTTTTGCATGCACCAGGCAATTCTAAGCCCATATTCACTAATTCATCTTCTGGACAATTTACTCTTTTTGATATCTCAGTTGGTCCTCTGAACTTTGATAATTTTTCTGGATATGAATATTAGAGACTGTATATGAATGAAATGTCTTTCAGACAAGGAAACTGAGAGGTACTGGCATGTAGATACGTAGGATATCCTGTGGGTTGTGTTCTGTGTGTGGCTCGTTCACAGGAAGCCACGTCCTTTAGAATTTGTTCAGGTGCACTGGTCTGTAAAACATCCCCCGCAGAGAATTTGCTATGATCATAGGAAACATGCAGATAAATTCTTGTTGAGCAGAGTTCATGTTAGTGTGGGCTGTACTGATAATACAGAAGTATAACTGGCCCAATATGGGCATGGGATCTAGCACAGCCAAACATCACTGTAGGTACCATCCAGCACTTGCACATTGTTCTGTCCTGACTTCCCATAAGAAAATGGAAAATTATGCTGGACTGGATTTTCTTCCTGATTTAACAATTTGAATGTAAGACAGTGTTTTGGCCCTGCTTAAGCGTCAGAACGCTTGTGCTTTGTAGTGAATGGTTGGGGTACAGTACCCCCCTTTCACTTGGACCCAAGAGTCCTACCAAAGCACTCCTGACTACATTGCAGCCCTTACGGACCTTGTCCAGATGACCTTATAAATCAGTTGGCTTATTTCCATTTGCCATGGAAATGGCCGAAGTCCTCTTCAAGTATTTTCTTTTTTTCCATCACACATTCAAGCATGTCAGTCTTCTTCCCCTTCAGCTAATTTTAATTGAACTGAGTGAAGTAAATGAATTCATCCACCTGCAAGATTTTGCCTAAGTCAGTTCTTGCAGGAAAATGAAGCGAAGCGAAAGAATGCATATTAAGGGAACATCTGAGAAATGTTATGGCACAGCTATCCAAGGTTGCCTTGTTCCTGGATGAGAGCTGCTATGCAGAGGTTTAGTATGTCTTTAAAAGGCATTGACAAATGCACTGTACTGAAGGTAGCTGGAGAGATGGAGAATTTCTAGCTTCAACTGTACATCATGGATAGTCTCTGTCTACTCCGGTGCAAAGTCAGATACCTTATTTTAAAATCAGTTTGAGTTCACTTTGATGACTTTGACACACGTTTCATTCTGCTGACTCAAAGAAGGCAGTAGCAAACAGGTAGGTACAGAAAAAAATGAAACTGGGGGAACTATGTGCTATTTGAACATGTCACGACTAAATTATGAACTGTACTTTGACTTTCAGTTTCTTGATGACATATATTTAGACCTCATATGAGAATCAGAATCTGGTTTGTGACACATATATGATATATATGATATAGCCACTTTCAGGGTCAGGCCTAGATTTTCTGGTGGTTCTGCAAAAAGCCAGTGACTTGGCCTCTTTGCTCTGCTGGATTTCCTTTCCCAGTAGAGCAAAACAAAACAAAAAAGCCCTTTTATCATTGAAGTCGCTTTAGAAGTTTTCAGCAAGTTCTGTTTTCTCTCAGTAACTGAATTGTGATATAAACTAATCAGCACTCTAGCTGGTCAAGATCTGACAGGTAGTTCATAAAAACAACGGTTGCTTCAGATCTTCCTCCCACTGGATATTTGTGGAGGATTACAAAGCCAAAACAAGCAGAAAACAAAGCAACCATATGTATGTTAAAAAATATACATTGCTTAGGATTTTTTACAACTGTCTGGTGGTTCATGATTCTGCAGGGATTAATAAGTAACAGGTATTACAACGCAGAGATTGTTATCTAGTAAATAGGTATTAGTAACTTGATTGAAAAAAAAAGAGTTTAACCACTGAGCTGGGGAATCTGCTTTCCTTTTCACTCTTTTTTCCCTTTTGTGTTTCATGACAGCATTCCTCATCTGAGTTCTTTTATCCAAAGAGTCTGGTTCTGCGCAGGCCACGCTCTGCAGAGGTTTGCTGTTGTGTTTTCATAGTGTTGATAATGGTCTTCTTTACTGAGAAGATTCTTCATTATTGTCATTCGCTGCGCTTGCTACTACTTCTGCCACACAGCTTTCCTGCTATCACTTGCCGCCCTGGGCACTGACGCTGTATTTTGCATCATGTGGTGCAGTGTTGTTTGTTAATTCTCACGTTTTTTATTTTGTTTAATGAAATGCTTACAATTTTTTTTTTTTAGATCAGATGAGCTTTGAGGGGCTGTAGTATTGTTATTCTAGCGTTACAGAAAGTTTGTCTTCTAAAACAAAAAAATAAAGTGCAAATATGAAGCAAATGAAAATGGTGAAAAGCATCTGACTTTAAATCGATGGTTAAAAAGAAATAGTTTTTCATGAGCAATGGCTCATGCTTTTTAGAAAAAAAAAAAGCCATCAGTTAAATCAGTTCCTTTTCTGTATGTATTGACCAACTACACATGAATACTTTAGTTGAGAAAATATTTACAAAATTCCAGGTTTGGACATGTTCCGTGTGCTGCCCGAGAGCATTTGCCCCTCTTTAATCCAGGGCACATCCACGTCCGAGTTGCAAGGTCCTCCCTGTCCTCTTGATTCTGGACTTTCTATGTTCAGACTTCCTTGAGTTTGCTTTGCACCTACAAACACCACCCACTTCCATTTCTTCTCCTTCAGGGCAGTGCTTATTTATTAGTTGTGTCTGCTGTGGGGGGACATGTGGCTGTACTGCATGCAGGCACACCTGAGGTAGCTCTCACCTGAAAACGAAGTAAGAAGGTACTGGTATGGACATAGTACAGGCTGGCGGTGGGCAGGCAGGCTGATAGGGTCCATGCCACTGGATTTCCATTGTGTCTTCTCATGCTGCCTTCACGTCTCTAGTTGCAAAGCAGACGTAGTCATATTATCAGCCAGGGTGGGATACTTGTGTTAGATGCAGTCTGTAGGATGGTGCTGTATGGTTGAACCCAGTGCTGTGATGCAGTGGGAGTTAATGCAAGCCCCATGCCCTTTGTCCTGCGCAGTACTTAAGTCTGTTAACTTAGGACATTGCAATACATTAACCACTCTTGAACGCCGCGCTCTGTTAGCTACAGAAATATGTATCAAGAAAATGCAGCTATAAAGATGTGTTATCAGTACTCCTAAGGAGGGCAATGTCTCTGCAGTCCTAGGCTTTATAGAAACGAATGTTGGAGTCTGAGAACAGCAAAATGAGGGACCATTTCACTCATGTTTTAGGCCACTGTAGTGGCTTTTTGGATTCAGCTTAGCACGCACGCGTCTGAATTTCCAGTGTTGAAAACCAGGAGCTTTAGCATTAAGAAAATAAATCATATCTGATGTATTAGAAAAATACGCAAGGCAAAATAGGAGCAGCCCATTTCGAAATAAAGGTATGTTCTCTTTCTTGCTTTGTAGATTGTATAGGATTCAAAGAGCTTAGGGTCAGATGAATACCCTTTTGTGTAAATTTGGTCAGTATTAAATTCTGTTTAGATTTACTTGCTGATTATATGAAGTGTAATTCACGCCAGATTTTGGCTTCAAGTGTTCTTCTGCAGAGTAGACACAAAGATACTACCATTGTTGTTGCTATAAAGATGGGCCAAAGGCTTGAATCTATATGAAAATTGTAGATTGAAAATTGTAGGGTGAAATCCTGTGAATCTCTGAGAAGTTTGCTGTTGAATTCAGTATGTTCTGGTTTTCCCACTTTATTTTATTCTGCTTTCCACTTAACTTACTCTTGGTAAGGCTATGTTTGTATGAGTAGTCTTGTAAAAGAGTTTTTTTTGGTAGCAACATGCCTTCAATGATTATGTGCTGAAAATTCATTCTCCTCTCCGGCCTTTGTGTCTAGAAAGGAAAGAAAAATCAGTTGCAACCTATTAATATGTGCATCTGTGTGAGTTTGAACTAAACCTGTTCACTAGTTTTGTCTTGGTGCATACATAGTGTAGATTTTTTAGGCAGAGAAATAATGAATGCATGCATTTGAAGGAAACGCTCTTGTAAGGAGAAGTGTACAGCTAAACTAGCAGACAGATACAATGAATGCTGTGACACTGAGGTGCTTTATTGGTCTTGTACATGGCCATTGAAAATTACTGAAATCCATAGGAAGCCTGTGTTTAATGAACCCTGGTTCCAAGTCCTAAATAACTGTAAAACCTTGCCGTTGATGAAGCAGGTAGTCAGAGTAGCAAGTGTTGTACTAAGAAAGCCAAATTCCTTGCTATTGCAAGTTGTGTCTGCCTAGTAGAATAAATTACACCCTAATCTTTTATTAGCTTATTTATAAACATGCATCACTTAAAGTAGCTTCTGAGGTTTAGAGAATTTGCTTAAGCTATAATGTTAAATGTTATTAAGTGAAAACATATTCATTCTTCTGCAGCTGTTATCACCGCCTTGCATAATGAACTCTATCAAAAAACTAAGGCAGGTACTGTAAACAATGCTGACGATGCCTTTGTTAAACAATTGTGCATCCATTTGGCCAGATGTTCTTGGGATCAGTTTTGATCTGGTTGCCTGCATTTGTAGGTTTTTATAGAGCATGATTCTGAACATCTGTGCTTGAGAAAGGCAGAGCCACCACATCGTAGCAGCATCTGGGTGATGTGAATGGCTCTAGCGTGGATTTTTTGGGGGGGGAAGTTATTTATTTAGATGATGTGCCATGCATGATGACATGACAAACTGAGGTAAATGCAGATGAATATCTTAAGCTTTGCAATCTAATATTAAAATATCAAGTTAATCAGTTTGGGGCATATGCATGGGCGATATGATAACTGAGCATTGAAATTCACAGTGAACCTAATAGGATGAGCATGACAGTTGGTGTTACCTCTGCCAATCTGCAAATGAAGTGGCTAAAGAACTTTTGCATTGAAGACAAATGCATGGAATGAAGAACAAAAACATAAAAATAGGAAGTCTGTGATAAAGTGGGAAATACTGAGAAGTCTTGCAGACACTTTAGATACTTTGTGATCTGGTTCTTTCCTTTGGCTCCCTCAATGACATGGATGAATTTCTATTGATTGAATTTCTATTGCTTTTTTCATGTACTTCATAGACTTGCTGTATCTGGTATGTATCTGTATCCCATATGGATATATTTACAACTGTCACATCCATTTTGGTGGAAGAGGAAAGAAAAAAGAGATGACTCTTCTACTGTCAGAAAATGTGGAGAAAGGCCACACACCACAAGAAAAGAAAAAAAGATTAGTTGTAGCTCTTCGTAGAAATTTGCTTTAAATTTCTCTGCACAAAGATGGCATTATGAAAAGCTCTATTTGAAACCTTCAAGAACAAGAACCATCATATAGCGTGTTCCAGATCTGTTTCTAGAAGTAAGGCAGCTTAACTTGTTTTGTTGCTGGGAGTGTAGAACAAGTGTCACTGGACTATTGTGATGGAAGGATATACCTCTGAATCAATGCATTCATATTACGGGATGTTTCCTCTAATTTCTTCACCTGTCTTCTGCCAATAATGTGTGCAAGAGATGCTCGCATGATATCTCCATTGAAGGTTAAAGGTTAAATCAGGGATAGTCGCTATTCTTGTTTTACCAGTACGCTGATCAGCTCTCCTCTAAAGTGGAATTTGTACCCCATTGCAGTTACATCAATAGAGAACTTGACCTCCAGTGTGTCTCTTGCCACCTGTTTAAGATATAAAGTCACAACAGTGGTACACAGGGTCAGGGATTCTTGCCTGCTAATGAAGATGTAATGTACAATCTAATAAAAGCCATACCCCGTCACAGATTTTCGGTCAGGAGCTATTATAGGTCTCTTAGGAGAGGAGCCAACCATAGCAACTAAAAGTATGCCAGAGGAACGGCTTATATCAAGGAATCTTTGGTGTATGTTTGTTAAGGCAAGCAGCATGAATATTTTTAAGTGCAATGCAATTGTCTTTAGGGAAAAGTGCAAAGCTGTGAAGAATTCCAGACCATATGGGAGCAGCAGCGTAGGAAATAGCCATCTGCGATGGAAACAGCCTGTGTAATTCAAAACAAGAAATAGGGCAAAGTGAGGCAGGAAGGGTGAGTAGTTGTAGAAGTCCTCTTTTTCATGCCCTGTCTTCAGGGGTATGTTGTAAACTTAAGCAAGATGCAGGGCTGGGGGCAAGTAGAGGAGCCGCGGAGTTCCAGGTCTGCTTGGATTAAGCTCCTCAGGAGAGGAATGGTGTGTGCTCAGGCAGTGGCTGGCAGGATGGCCTTCTACCCAGGGAACGTGGAGCTTTGCAATAGATGGAAGGTAAAATTGATGTACGCAGGAAGAATTACAGAAAATAGAACACTGGTTTTAAAGGGTATCCTATCTGGCTCATGGCCGTGTTAATGGGATGTTAATGAGAAACTTGAAGCAGAAACACAGTGAGGAAATGAAGAACAGGTGCTACACCTTGCCAGTCCACCTGACAACTGCTCCTGTACTCCAGGGTTACGAGCACTTAAAGTTATTAGCAGAATGTGGCTGAATATCTTCTTAAGGTGTCTAACTTTAATAAATTCACTGAAATGATAAATACAAGTGAATTTTCCTTTGCTGAAAAGGTTTTTAGCAGTGCCACTAAGAGATGAGACTAAGGAGATGGACTGAGGGCTGAGAATTTCTTGTTTTCTGAAGTGATTGTGAAAGATCCAGAGCGAAGAGCAACCCAGAGAGCCTGCCAGGTGGGAAGAAGCCATAACTGCCTCTAACACTTGTTTTCCTACAACAGGGAGAATTGAGCAGACAAAACTCTTAAAGTATGCCTGCCAAAAGCCAAAGGTAACAGAGACACCCCTAACAGTACCTCAACTACGTAATACTCTTCCCTATGTTGTAATGCAAACAATTGTTTTCCATAGCAACTGCAGCAACATGTTACATGTGTCTCTACTCAGACAGTGGTGTGGAATGGCAGAATGGAAGGGAGAATAAAGTGTTTCTCAACAACAGCCAGATTTTCCAGCTTAATTCTTGTAACATTTCCATGAAACAAGTGGTTGTTGTTGGTTTTATTGCTTTGATTGCATCATGGGAGGAGGTTAAGGGCAGCTGAGAAATTTCTGTTCCCTTTTGGGGTGTAGGAATTTGCAGCTACAGAGAGAAAAGGAAAGCAACACATAAAGGTCCAGCTGAGAAAGTGTTCTCAGACGTGCTCTGGAGAGGATTTGTGACTGTGTCAGTCCATGGCCACATCTGCTCTCTTTGATCTGAATCTTCACGTTTTTTGGTGGAACATGTTCAAAGCCTTTTATTCCTCTGACCCTCCCTGAATGTGGTGATTTCATTTCCACAAATGAAGTCAGAGAAAGCCTGCTGTATGATCCACGATTAGTCTTCAGCATTTTTCATATGGATGGTTCCAGTAGCTTCCTGGGCTATGAAACAAAAGGTAGAAAGACTCTCAGGTCTGTTGAAGGATCCTTTCAGGAAATGTATGCTGAGAGATAAGAAAGGTCTAGAAGCTTTGTTGTGTTCACTCCAGATATTTCCTAAGAAAAATCAGCAAGCCAGGCTGTCAAGCCTTGTTTCTCTTCAGTGTGTGCTTGAAGGTCCCTTAGTTCAATGTCACAAGCTGACGAGGTAAGGACTATTTACCAAGATTTAATTTTCAGTGACTTTGGAGTATCTCACTGCACTAGTGTCATCAGTCATCTGCTGATGCATCGCTTTGCGATGGGATTTGGTTTTTTGCAGTCAATTAGGGAGCAAAAATTGTTCATGGTTTCTCAGTTGCAAATGGGATATCACTGACTATGTTTGTGTGTTTGCTGCATGCCAAATTTAGGAGTAATTGCCACAATAGCCTGGGTGACTTTTGATCAAATAGAAGTTTTTCAAATCCATCAAGTTTTCAGGATCCCCATATCTCAGTGATAAGTTATTTTGTCTCCTCTCACAAAAATTCTCCCAGGAAATCAGTGTCTTTTTAGTCCTGAGGAAGTGCTGGAAAATCTACTAGATGTGTAACAGCGCTCAGTCTGTAAGGGCGTGACTGTTCTCATGCACTTCAGTTTACAGGACATTGTCATTAAACATCAGGACTTTTGCAGTATGGGGAATCATGAAATTTCAATCAACAGTTTAGCTTTCATGTTGGATATAGATTGTCCTGCAGGTGTAGGGAACAGCTCCAAGCCAAGGATTTCTGGTCCTTCTGCTTAGAAGGACTGAATTTGGTTCTGAATTCGGTTCATAATGGAAATCCAGTAATGGAACATCTGGAAAGTGATAACGTGTGTGCTGTGCTCCTCTCAACAGTTTTGTCTGCTGACCTGCTGATACCTCTAGCTGTTTGTGAACTAACGTTTTGATAAAATGACCAGCAGGACTATCCTGGATTGTAGTTTGTATGGCTCCTTGCAGTCTCTCTGGCAGGTGTTGTCTGATTTTGTTCATTATTGTTGTCAGTCTTTACATTGTGTGATTTAGAAAACCTCTTTCCCCTCTCACAGCCCTCCTTCCCCTACAAAAAAAAAAAAGCCCACTTGCCTCACAAGGTTGTGAAGTTTGCCAGAATGCTTGCATTTGTGTTGACATTTTTTCCTAAATACGGTTAATTTCAAGATGTATGCAGATTTCTTCACTTAAAACCAAAATTACCAATGTTAATGGATTCAGGTTTCTGAAAAGTTACTTTTTGTTTTTCAGCCTACAAGAACATCATCAGAAAGTATTTATTCCAGACCAGGTTCCAGTATACCTGGCTCTCCAGGCCACACTATCTATGTAAGTATTCCTTCTCATGAATAAGCTGCTGATCCCTTGCTTGCACACGAAATACTCCATGCTGAAATAAATCATTTTTATACTGATGCTAATGCCTTTATTCTAGTGGTTAAATTGTTAAAATTCTCCCCATGTGTTTTTTATAACTACAAAATTTCAAGAGCAGGGTAGGCCTTTTCCAGGTCGCATTTCCCTTGGAAAGATACAGTAAATCTCTTGAAGTCACTTGGTGATGTGAAGAGGGCCAGAAGGCAGACAGGTCATTTGACTTTGTTAGGGGTTATGTGAGGAGATCTGTGCACCTCCATATGCAGTTCTTGAGAGATCTGCTGTCTGCAGTTGCAGGATGTGGGGAGGAGCGTCAGCTACACTAAAAGAAGCCTGGCTGATAGAACACCTTCCGTTTCAGAAGTCAGATGTTTTGGTTGTGGAAGGAAAGGTGTTTTTTATTTAAGAACAAAAATGATATTAAACATCCTTCTTTTACTAACCTAACAGCGCTGAAAATGAAAAGCTATTGATATACTATTTTATTTGTAGTTACCTGAGATGTAGAGTTTAATGAGATTCCTTCAGTAACCAAGCCTCCTTTTTCATTGTTTTAGAGGATCTCTTTCACTTCTTGGCCTCGCTATTGATACCTTTTGAGCCCATAAGATCTTAGAAATTAAGAGTGGAAATACATTAGCAGAAGATTGGCCCAAAATTTTCAAAGGAATGATGTTTTTCTCCAATTTTCAAACCACTTTTTCAGGCATTTCAGTGTTGTGTCAGTACCTTTATTTTTTCTTGGCAGAGAAGTCCACAGGGTCAAAAAAAAATCATCTTTTGTGGCGGTACTAATCCAGTTCTAAGGAGAAAGAATATAAACTCAAATGTACTTTGATGAATAACAGAACAACTCAGCCTTCTTGAACTTGTATTTCCATGCATATAACCTAAACTTCAAAAAATTTGTATGCATTTAAGAGTCCTGCTCCTTGAAAGTCCATATAACCTTTGTCCTCATATAAAACATGCTCTCAGAGAACCTGCACAAAATCCAAGGCAGAAGTGGAAGATAACAGCTAAGGAAGAAAATCACAGGAAGGCAAGTTAGTGAGAAAGAGTCCATTATGAGGAGAGCAAAGATGAAGGTATGCTGGGAAGAAGAGGCAGACTACAGGGCAAACTGTCTTTTGTGTTACCTCTGCATAATGCTGAATCACTGATTATAGATAACCTTAAGATTATATAGGTGAAAATGTGTAAGACACAAAAATTTATCAGTTACATGTATAATAGTGCAGAAAAATTACCAAAATTACAAATCTCAAGTCCTGAGTTTGAGTTAAATACTAGTTGTTCAGTGCATTTCAACAACAACAAGAAAAATTAGCTGATATATTAAAAATGTTCACACTACAGATATCAAAACACAGAGCATGTCCTGGAGAACTGCCATTTTGCTGGTAGTATCTACTTCATAAGCTGTAGCTTATGAAATTTAACTGCTGCTCAGCAGCACATTCTGTAGGGCAACGTGGTGGCCTAGACACTGGTGTCTACAAAAATATCTATGGTCATTTATATGGGATTAAGAATATCCAGACATATCTGCAGGTCATTAACAGACTGATGTAAAAATATTACAGAAATAACATACAGGAATATACCTATGTATTTGAAGGATTAAATTGGCTTAAGGTATTTTGCTATATCTGGTGAGTCAAAAATAAACAGATTTGAGGCTATTTTTAGAAAGTTAATTTCAAACCTTGCTTCTCTATCAAAAAATGTTTTGTATTGTTTCTAATTTATGGCATTGCTTAAGAACGACCAAGACCAATGATTGTTAGGAGAGCTTTGGAAGGCAAATGCACTTAAATCTGAAAATAGGATGTGCTAGTACTCAGGAAGAATGGAACCGGATGTGGATAGAAACAGATCAGCCTCATTTCCTTGTGCAGCCTACTATGAATAAATAAAATACCTTGTAGAAGAGTTAAAAACCAATTTGAATATTCTCTTTCAGTTTTAATCATCAAATGTATTTCTGTAAGGTAGGTAAGAATGTATGATGATGTTTTTTTAACAAGTCTTCTTTTAAGTAAGGAAAGATATTAGCTATCTAAACAATATGTAAGGCCTCTTTTTAGCTCCTTCTGCAGCGGTCTTTGGAACTGATTTCCTACTTCCATTTTTTAACTAGTCAGGAGCTCCTTGCAGTTTTAGTGGAAGAAATAGTCCATGTTATTACTATGTAGTATGCAGTTAGTAAGCAGCATATGCCTTAGTCAGAAGCTTGGGTATAGGTTGAGTAATGAGTGCAATATAATAATTTCAATTGGGAGTTTGGATACCCGGTCCTGACAAATAGTCCTGCTTGCCTTTTTACTTCCTTGTAATAAGTTGTATTTCCTCTCGTGTGCACAGGTAGAAGTTGGCTTTCTGTCTGTGGTCTTCTGCATGGAATCCTCCCATAATCTCTGTAGTCTAAGTTGATGTTATCACACATTTTTACATATGGGAAAACAAGAGCAGAAAGGTGAAAATACTTGCCTGAGGCCACAAAATGAGTCATTTGCAGAGCTGAAGTTTCCCGCTCGCTCCTGGGGATAAGAAACGTTTGTATTAGATCTATATATGCCATGTTCTTTCTTTCCTAAACTGAGAAAACACCGTGTGCTTTTGCAGAGGAGGCCTGTTGGAGAAGAACAAGAAGCAATGACTTTGCACGTCAAGTGCCAGAAAGGGTTTTCCGTAGCAACGTCATGATGACAAATACACAAAAAACATAAATTGTGTAAACCAGAAATTACCGGTGCGTTTGTGTAAGTTAATTTATCTTCTGTCTTTGACCTTCAGGCAAAAGTAGACAATGAGATCCTTGATTACAAGGATTTAGCAGCCATTCCCAAAGTCAAGGCCATTTATGACATTGAACGTCCAGACCTAATTACTTATGAGCCATTCTACACTTCCGCCTACGAGGACAGACAGGAGAGACAGAGTCTTGGAGAGGTAATGAACCGACAAGCAACCCATTCTGCTATAAGCTTTATTCAAAGCCTGCTTGGCTTCTATCCTCTTTTGAAACAGTTTCTAATTGACACTCCTTGGTATTGTTGCTGCTGCTGTTCAAAGTGCCTTTTGTCTGTTTGATCTGGGTTTAATGGGAACAATCATGATGATGCCTCATGTGCAAAAGTGCTCAATTAAACACGCAATTAAACACCTACATTAACACCAGCCACTGGCAGAGGAATGGCAGGGGGAAGGTTTGCAGCCTATCTGCCTGTGCATTCTCATAACTCGCATGGATATCCTAGTCTTTGGGTACAGCAAACTCCAGAACATGAGGCAAAAGCCAACCTGGTGTGCTGTACAGCACCGATATTCACAACAGAATATGAGGAATACCGTGATGTTCTGTGGCAGTAAAAGGATTAAGAGCAGTGGGATGCTTTCTCTCACACATATTGGAGGGAAATATATTTCTAGAGCACTTTGCCGGACATACTGGATAAAATCAGAACAAGCTCAGGATGAAGCGTTCTTCCACCTGGGAAAGCAGGTTAGTTGTGTTACAGAAATAGCTGCCTCACGTTTTAAACTGCTGACATTTAGTAAGGATTCTTGTATCCTGCAATGATAGAAAAAAACATCTAATTTATTCTCTTAAATTTCTGTTTAAAGATATCTTTTGGGTTTTAGGGTCCCCCAGTTTTCTCAGGTGAACTTCCATAGCTGCAACTGCTATTTACATGGTTCCAGTGAAGCAGGTTTTGTCATGTAATACCATCTGGCTGTACATCAGACTTGCAGAATGCAAATTTAAATGGGCATGGAAATGGATTTACTTCCTTGCTATCTCAGTGACTTTACTGACTGTAACTGAATTATGAAGATGAGCTGAGGAAAAAGGAAGTACAGTAAGTCACTCAGGCACCAGTGGTCTGAAGACGCCCAGATCAGTGACTGATAATCTGCTCTCTTAGCAACAGATCACAGCTGACTTTTTCTACTTTGTTCTTTAATGGTTTATAGGGTTAGTCTTTTAAATTATAACGAGTTGGAAATTCAGGAGACTGCTCAGCTCAGGAATAAGATAAGAGATTAACAGGTCAGAATATTACAGAATTTCCCCCCTCAAATTTACGTTGGTAGTGAATCCAGCTGACATCTGGTTCAAAACCACTGTGAGGTGCATGGGTGACCTCTGACCAGTTCCAACAGGCCTGACCCATTCCACAAAACCCTCTACAACCACAAGTCTCCTGTTAGTCACAAAGGAGGAACTAATCTCACCCAGAGAAGGTGAACTATTTATTAATCCTTAAGGGGAAGCTTCTCAGTGGCAAAGCAGTATGTTGGAAGCTGATAAAGCAGTATGGTGGAAGCTGTCTGCTGTTATGCTTGTTCTGTGGATAAGCGTAAAGCCTTTGGGGTTTTCTTACCCCGTATTTTCACCAGCATTAAATCCAATTAATTTCTGGTGACTACAGAAATTTGTCCTGAAAACAGAAGGGCTCTCACCTTCTTTTCAGAGGATCTGGGTTTTCCACTCAATGCTACTGCTGACTTCTGTCACCTTGGGCAAGTTACCTCACCTCTTTGTACCTGTTTCTTTTCCCTCCCCTTGCCCTAATGAGAACACAAGCCCATTGGGGTGGAGTGATCTCTTACTTTGTGTTTGTGTTGTGGTAATCGAGTGACACCTCAGTCTCGGTACATCATATGTCAGTCACCATCATCTTTAAAAAGCAAAGGAGGTGACATGTTTAGTCATGGCAGGGATTTGCAGGCTTTGAGTGATTTAACCTGCATTCTCTTTGCAAAGTGTGTGTATGTGGTGGTGTTAAATAAAAGGGGACCCTGAGTTTAAGCTTGCGCACTAGAAATGCCCTTTACCATGATTTAAAAAAAAAAAAATCACCAAACTCAGCTAAGATTTCTGGATGTACAAGGGAGATAGATGTGCAAGAGCCACCAAAGTTAATCCAGTAGTGGAGACAAACCTTAATTAGAGGGAATGGGCTGCAAGAAAATCATATACTTTAGCCATAGAAAGTGAGAAAACACAGCATGGGACTTTCTTCTTTATTGCAATGGAAGGGAAATGCTTTGAAAAGTTTCTCGCTCATAATCTCTCTTGTTCAGTTGAATCCCAATCTTGTTTTCATGTAGCACCATCTAGCGGGACCAGGCATTTTAGTTACAGATCCACCAGCAGGTAGTGGGGAAGAGAAAAGGAGCTCATGAAGAGATCGTTTAGCTTCTAATATAAAAGAGATGAAGACATGTGAAATGAGATCTGCCAATAAATTTGCTGCTATTGCAGCTGACCCTTAATGTAGCAATAACGTTTCCAGAAACTGTCAGTTACTCAGGTTCTTCATGTCCCATAACTTCGGCCCTGCTAGCAGCAACCTGGTTAGCACTGAAATCGTCTTTTCTGAGCTCTGACTTTTGCTGTACAAATATTGAGAGAAGCAGCATTTTACTTGCATGTCCTTTGTTTCTAGTATTCTGTCTGTTGAAAGTATTGAATATCTGTAACAGCTTCAAGTAAACAAGCTGTCGTAAAATGAGAAAAGTATTTTTTCTAATGTGGTAGATGTTTCAAAACGGAGCAGGCATTCTACCTGGTAATTCAATAAAAAGACCGTTAAAATGAGGTCGGTGTGAAATGCTGGAACTTGTGTTATAAAATGACACCTGTAAAAGTTTGTGGAAATTTCCCAGAGCACAAAATGGCCTGTACAACTTCAGGTATTAGAGCAGCCCCTTAGATCTCAAAGTGATAGAGCACTGAGCCTGTTGCCGTGAGCAGAAGTTTTACTGTAAATTTGGTCAGAACAGGCTCTCTACCTGGACTTTTTCTTGCCTTTTTTTCTTTTTTTTTTTTTAATCTGAAGTCATCACTCTGTATTTCCACTGGTTTACTATTCTGGAACTGAGCTGTTTCTTCTCAGTTGACTGCACAGCGTATTTCAAACTGATTAGTGTAGACTTCTGTGATAGACCAGATTTTCAAAGACCTCATAAACCCTGAAGAACCAAGCATTCCTTGGCAGACTCAGAGTTTGAGATACGGCAGTTCACCTGTGCATGATAAAACAGTAAGTTGGCTGCAGAGTGTGGTTCCATTTCCCAAAAAGCGAGGAGATGATGTCAGATAGTGATGGAGTAAAAATACAAGAAAGGATGGCCATGGATTCAGCACATTACTTTCCAGGATGCCTTCCCAGTCTTAGATTCCTGTGGCTACCTTTTACAGTAGTCATTGCCTTAGCATCTAGGCAACCACAGCAGATTATGTAAATTTGCTTATTTACAGTAACACATAAATTACTAGTAGAAAAATGTGGGAACGCACAACATGCTTTTTTCATTCATATTGAAAGTTTTAGATTAGCTCTTGGTTGTTTTTGTGGAGAACGATGCTACAAAGCACTGTGTACAATACGTTTCATGTGGAGCAGAGTTTTTATGGCTGCTGCTGTTAGATCATGAATGAATGGTGGTTTGCTGTTCAGAACTTGTGCAGTTATAAGGATTAGGGAAACAAGAATGTAAAAGACATTCAAGGCTTACCCAAATAAAAAATGTCACTCTGTTGTCTGGATACTTTGCATTCACAGTGTAACCAGCTCCGTGAGAGTTAATGGTCTCTCAATGCAAACTGTATAGCTGCATATTTGTTACCAGAAACTCAGCATATGTTTTACACTACTGCTGTTATACATTATTGTAATAGTTAGACCAGAATCCGCAGTTTTGCTTCTGAGACGTTATCTTAATAGCTGTATCATTCTGTAATAATTGTGGTCTTATTTAAAACCATAATCTCTTGCCCAGTTTATTATGGCAATTAAATAATATTGAAGTTTAGTGCATAAAGAAAATAATTAAATCCTGATCTTCTAGCTTCAAATTGTCTTGTGATTAAAGGGCACATAACTGGTAATTATACATAGCTTTTATTCTTGTTTGTACCATCAATGTATGCATGATCTTATGCTTCATTTCTAAAGGTATTTCTTGCCTCAGCTTCCCTATCTCTGTAATACAAACTTTTCATAATATTGTGCATATTTCTGCCCACTGGCCTTTGTGCAGTTCTTTCAATGTATATGCTTGTAATTCCTGTCTGTTCTCCTTACATAACCATGGAAGAACACAGAGATTTAAAGGAGATCATATCAAAGAAATGTTGATGACAACTACATACTCCTTTGCATGGGTATGAAATGTAAGGCCTTGGGGAGAAGCACATTTTTGCCAGAGTATGTGGGTTGGAGGAAAAACATGCTTCATTCTGGAAGTTATTCTGTATTTCTGATGCCATGCAAAGCTCTGACTTAAGATTATTTACTTTTGATTTCCACTTTAAAGATTTCTTCATAACAAGCATGGTTATTAAGTTAATAACCCTTTCTGATTTTAATCTTTACAGCTATATTTTAATTACCACAACGATTAGATGGCTGAGAGATGATGTTGCATGATATTTGACTGAATTAATCACGTTTATAAAGATTCTCCCAGAAACTTTAATTGCTTCAGTGATTTATGGACCAGTTCCTGAGCAATGTGGAAAAAGCAAGTTCCAGTGCTGCAATGGCCTTAGCAATTTCTACGTTGTCATTTTACGTTGCCATATATCCATGTATCTGCAGCAATGTTTAGATTGCCGTTTTCTGGCCCAGCACATGCAATGATGTTTCAGTGACCTTGTTTTTATGTCTTTGCAGTCTCCAAGGACATTATCACCTACCCCTTCTGCAGAAGTAAGTTTGGTGGAACCTTTGGGGGCAGTATCTTACTGTGATTAGAATTATTCACTTCAGCAAATGCAGGTGTTGATTTTGCTATCCATCTGATCCATCTTTGTTTGCCACATAGACATGTTTTCTGAATATTGAAGCTTAACAAAAGTTAACTCTAAAAAGAAAACATGAGGTTCTTACTGGCAGATTGTATAAAAAATTAAGATACCGCTCCTACCCATTTGCTGTCTATAAAGCAGAGTCTTCTGTCCAGCAGAGGTCACTTCTTGTACATTCATCCTTCTTGTGGCACATGGATGGTTTACATGAGCTAAAATGCTGCTCTAAGCATCTAAATAATAAGCCATGTTTGCTCTTAGAATATTTACAGTTTTGTCTTGAAGAAAATATAACTATGATTTGGTTTGGTTTTGCTTTTCCCTAGGAGTTAATTTGAACATCACAATAACATAAAACATTTGGGAAGTCATTTGTCAGGATACAATAGATGCCACTGCAGAAGCATTATCATTTTGGGGCTGGGGAGTGTTGCTTATTTGCAACATAAAAGTTGTAGTGATTTCTACATGTTAAAAAAGTGACTATAAAATTTCTTGTAAATCTTCATGCGTTAGCATCAGTCCTATCCCTTTTGTCCTCGTTTTGTTTGCTTTGTGAGGTTCGGGGCGGGGGGGGTGGGGTTTTGTTTGTTTTGAGGTTTTTTTGTTTCTTTTTTTATATTGGCTTTTTTCCCCAGGAAACTGAGTAAATTGAATTATATATGACAAGGTGTCATGTTTTCAGATGCAAAGGGAATCTAATTTTGATACTAAATACCTCTTGATGTGGCTACACACATGGTAAAATAAGCCACAGAGAGCTCTGTGCTGCAGCTATTGAACTCTTGCTGGTCTCCCAAGTTAGCTAGCTGAAGGCTAGCTCATGTATCTTGTGCAGTACACTGCATACTCTGAATGTACAGACATACTCTGAATGCAGCTTCCCTTATGGAGTCACAGGAATGTGGGCAAATCTAGGATTATATAGGATTCAATAGAAATTACAGGTTGAGTTGGAACCTTCCAAGACTGGACTCTGACCCGGACTATAAAAATGGATTGGAGTCTTTGGAACAGATCATTAGAGAACAGTAATAATGAAGTAGGTTGAAGGCTTAAGGGATATTGTTATTTCAGTAGCTTCTGCTGATGTCTTCAGATCCGTGAAAGTTAAGTGCTGCTAAAAATGTGTAATGTGCATTTACATTTATTAGTGAATGCTTCTATTCTGCAGGGTTATCAAGATGTTCGGGATCGCATGATTCACAGGTCTACTAGTCAGGGCTCCATTAATTCTCCAGTGTACAGTCGTCATAGCTACACACCCACCATGTCACGTTCCCCTCAGCATTTCCACAGACCTGGTAAGGGCTACTGCATTAGAACTACACGTAAAACTATTGTTTCTTTACTATGTCACTTAGTGGCACAGCGGAGCACTTGTTTCTCTTAGCAGTGAAAATTTAGGATTGAAAAATTGTTGCATATTTTAATATCTCCTTTTCTACCTGTTTTTTTTATTCTTGATTGACGCAGTCTTTTGCACTAGGCTGATGAGTGTTTCTTACATCATAAATATGGATCTTCTGGATTTGTTTCTGATTAATTATTTTTTAAATCTTTGTATGTTTCTGAAAGTGAGCAAAAATTTGCAGCAGTAAATCACAAACTTCATTCTGGAATTTGGGAAAAGTATCACATATTGGAAACAAAAGTTATGGCTTAACTATACAGAAGTCAGTAATGTAGGATTCCTCCCTCCTAAAAAACAGTTCATTTAAAGCTTGGTGCAGCCATGGAATCTCGGATTCAGCAGCAAAACCCCCAGATATTCCAAATTGCTAGTTGTTTTTTAAAACATAGACTCATGGTTTGCAAGGTAGATGTCTTAATTAAAGCCATAGGCAATTGCCTGGGAACATGTGAAAAACACAAACTTCATTTACTGGTTTAGCAGTGATGTACAAGTTCTATGTACTGTATAGAAAATGTACAGGTCATTCAGGTTCCCAGTGCATTCAAAATTACTGGTTGTGTATATAAAAGCAAGATACGAAAATGAACTGTTCATCCACACCCAAACTGCATAAAAATTTATCTCTAAACACTATTCATTGAATACTTTTCAAGGCTGATTTTATTGTTTATGGTAATTAATTAAATCTTTGTGATCTGTTTTTAAATTAAGTGATACAATCGTGCAGTTCCATCTTCCTTGGTGATTTCAGCTGAACAGTGGGGATGCCAAAAGCCCATATACAATAGGAGCCGCATTTTTAAAATTAAAGGTTTATGATAGAGCCACCACTGTGGAACTTGAATGCTGTAGCCATTTCCTAGTGAGGGTGGGCTGAAAGCAGCTAATTGTGTCTGTCTGTGAATGTCTTATTTAAAGGACCCAAGAGTGGTGGGACAGAAGCAAATTGTGTCTGATGATACTTAGTGCTGACAACATGACTGTGCTTTAAGATGACGTTACAACTGAAACTGAAAGAGACTTAAAAGCCTGAAAAAGCTGCAAACTTCTGTCTCTTGATTCTGGCAATTCTGAGGGGATTTTTCCATTTGTGTCAGTCGTATCAGGGATATGAACAAACCCAGGCCCTGTTCCAGACTTTACTGTGATTGAGTTTTACTGTCTGTGTTCAGTCAAGGACCTTCCCCAGAAGCAGTCTCTGTTTATGTAACTCTAGCGATGGGCGGATGGGCTCAAGCCAGAGTTTGGATCCAAATGTAAAATCTTCAAAACTTTGCAGCCTGAGGGATTTTCTGAGAAGATGTTTGTTCAAACTTATCTCTGTTCAGATGATCTCATCTTTGACTCGCCTGTTTCTGTTTCTCATATGACACAGAAGTAATTCTGTAGAATTTATCATTTTGATCTTTGCTACCCTGCTTTGGGGTAATTGTTAATGCTACTTTATAATTTTCCTACAGTAATTATTCATGTTGAATAACAGCACATGTATATTTACCATTTTTCTCCTAATGGCACTTCTTATCATCATGTTATTTGCAAGAATAATTTCTCTCTGAATAAACCCAGTGGCCCCAGATAACTTCTCTTTGGCTCCCAGATAGCCCTTGAGAGAGAAGTGAACCACTGTGTTGACGTTGTCAGCATAAGGTTCTTCAAAAATTTGAGTGCTACAAGTTTTGAAAAAGTTTGCAGCCTTTTCCTCCCGCGGTGCCCTAGCCGATGTCGGCAGCATTTTTGGAATGTCTTAAAACAATAGAAAACAGCTTGAATGCCTCTTGACTGACATTTTTTGGTCAGGCACTTTTCAAAACAGCTGCTTTCTTAACTAATTGAGCGTCAATGTTTGTGATGTTTGCATGCTGGTAGCAGGCTACTTTTTGGTAACAAGGCATAGATCAGAAGCTCGTTAAGCCAATAGATGTTATGCCAAATAAGCAATACAGTTCAAATCTGAGCCTCTCTTCTAATACTTCCTGTAATTTTTTCTAACGTTTATGAACCCTTTGGTACGTCTTTAACCTTTTGTTTTCCTCCTTCCTTCTTTTCAGAGTCCTAATTGTTCAATGCCTTTTTTTTTCTTCCTTTGAAGCCTCCTTCCCTGCCTTTCTCTTATTGTTTTTCTTTGTTTTCATTTTGTTCTGCCCCCCGATTCCCTGCTGCCGCAGAGCTGCTCTCTACTGGTGTGCAGCGGTTGTCATACCTGCGCACTAGCAGTCTCAGCTCCACTCACCATGACTCCCGCCCCAACTCCCCCTTCCGACACCACTTCATCCCCCATGTCAAAGGTAAGGAGCCAGGCCTCCCCAGGGAGTACCCTCCAGGCTGGAGATTTATTAGCATTCTGTCAAAGCTAATAAGGTGTATCGCCGTAAGGCTGTCATTGGCTGTGTAGCTGAGCATGCCTCGAAATGTGCCGTTACACTTAAAACTACGTTAGAATAGACATAATGTCCTTTTTTCGGAGGAAATATGTCATTTCTAAGGGCCCTAGTTGAAGAGTCATCAAGCAATTACCTATTAGAAATATATAGGAAAGCATTATCATTTACTATTTAGAACCTATATGTGCCTAATTTACCTTCTTTCTAAAGCAGTACATAACAATCATTACAGCAGTTAGCATATCAAATTTGATTATTACTTCCACATTCTTAAAACGTGCATTTAAAAATTGACTGCAAATATTGCCTGGATGAGAGCAAGGTGATCAAAAATATGGAGAAGAGAAAAAGAAAGATTATATAAAGATCAATGGCAACAAGGAAGTTACTCATTGTTAATCACATCGGCAATAATTAGTGCCCAACAAAGTAAAATTAATATCTCTAGGCCTCTCCTCAACTAGTGAGAATCAGCAGGCTGCTGAAGGCAGCAGAGTTGCAGGGATTTACACTACCTGAGGATCTGGTCATTTCTCTTTTTTTCAATCTGTTATTTTCCGTGGTTTGATTTGGGGGAGGATTGTTCTTTCATTGTGTCCCTTCAAGGAGCTCATTCAGCTCAATAAGCTTCTACTTTTGTTTCTTGCTTTCTGTGAATGTGGTTTTACCTTTATTTCTATTGGAGCACTCTCTGGTTGTGCTGTCTCTTCTGTTGGGGGAGAAGGTCATAGCTTATATCACCTGCAAGAGCTCAAAAAGAGGCAGTTGAGTAAGTTAAACAGAGATTCTATTCTGGCACCACTGATTAATGTAAATAATCATGAACTGGAGACAATCAAAAACAGTTGTAAGGAAGTTGTTGCCATGAACTTTCACGAAATGCTAATAGATCTCAACATTATAGCTCTTCAAGCATTCAGATCACCATTACTAATTTTACTCTTGCCTTTTCTTAGATGGTTTTTGTTAATATGCACTTTCAAGTTTCCTATTACGTCGCTATAAAAAAAAAATCTCACTTGAAACTTAAAAGATTGGGACCCTTAAAAATAGATACACTGCTCATTTCAGCATGCAGTTAATTCATAATCCTTGCAATTTCAACATTTCTTTGCTGTAAATCCGAATTAATGCTCA